GATGGATTTTATATTTCCTTCTTCTATTTCTGTATTCCCCATTCTTTCATTTTTCTGAACATGTAAATAATAGGAAGTTTGAATAGTCAATTGAATATGCGAGTATTGCAGGTATTAAACACAGCCTTATCGGGGTACATGTTGGTATGAGTTCATACCTTCATTAACCACAGGCTGCCGGGTGGATTTTTTTTTAGCAAGACAAGATGCCGGCTCACTTTCCAGATTTTCCATTTTCAAAATTCTTCAAAAATTCATCATTTCATTAATGGCTGTTTATACCAAAATGAAGGACTCTCTGGGCACTACTCTAAAGCTGACAGGAAAAATTCATTGACTCCTGAATATTTCAGCCAGGCCTGCAGCCTTGGAAAAAGAGCCTAGATTGTGCGGTGTTATTAAAATTCTTTTGTTCCCGAAACCGGCACAGTGCACTGCTGACCTTTTTTCAATAGGGGCCAGATTAGCATGCAGCGGTGCTGTGTGGCTCATCACTACGGTGGTGGAGACCTTTTGTCCCCGGTGGTAATTCGCTCGCTCTAAAGGCCTCAAACCATGGTATACTATTTCAAAACAAGGCTGGATTATCTCCACTGTTGAGAGCTGCCCAGCAGCTCAGTCTTTTGTGCTGAGCACGGTCTTTTGTTATAAGGCCCGACTCTCCCAGCAGGGAGTGGTTAAGGTGGTCACTGGTAAGAAAAACAAACTACTGGCGAATGTATTCAGTCATTGCACTGTTGCTGTTGAGTTTTCATAAGGGATGCCAGGGTGCCCAGAACTGGAGACGTTGGCTTTATATGCACAAATCTGACAAAGGAGCTGGGCCTTGTAACAAAAGACTATACTCAGAACAAAAGACCGCTGCTGGGATAGCGGAGATAATCCGTCATTGTTTTGAAAGAGTATTCCACTGTTTGTGGCATTTAGCGCGAGCAGATTATGACTGGGGACAAAAGTGCTCTAGCGATGAGTGATACAATACCGCTGCATGCTAATTTGGCCACATTTGAAAAGACGCCAGCAGCCCACTGGGCTAGTTTTGGGAACAAAAGAAAACTACGTAATACCACACAATCTTGGCTCTCTTTACAAGGCGGCAGGCCTGGCTGAAATACTCGGGTGTCAATAGGTATTGTCTGTCAGATTGGAGTATCCACCAGACAGTAATTCGTGTGGGTGTAAACATCCAGTAAATGAAGTTATGAATTTTTAAAGAATTTTGAAAATGGAAAATCTTGAAAATCCCCCGGGAGTTCGTCATGCAACTTCAAATTGAACCTGGCAGTAAGCGGTTAACTAGCAACAATAAGCAAACAGTAACAGGAAAGTCTTTGCTATAGTGTAAAAGCTAGTGGCTTACATGTAAATTTAGATTTGGAAACCTGTGATATATGTCGTATTATCCGGCCGGGCTGCCGGATAGG